AAAATAAAATAATAATAGTAATAATACAGTAATAAAAGCATGTTATTATTTACTTTTCTCATATAATAAACTGAAGGAGCAGTGCAGCCCACAAGCCCTGCATGTACAAAAAAAGAAATAATATATTAATTGATAATAAATCTTTCTCTCTCCTATACCGTGATGCTTTGATTTCAATGGTTTAATATCTTGAAATAAATATGACAAATCTTGCGTTACAAATAACGTTATGACAGCTCTCTCCCAGTCCTCAGACTACAAGAGAACAATTACAAAATATTATATCATATACATGTACAGTGTAGTGCTTTATTTTGGCAAATTTGCTGTAGAATTGTAATTGGCCGTTTTAATTTGGCAATTTTTTGTGTACACATGCATTACTGGGCATGCGCATTAATGATTGGCAGGTTTAATATTGGCAATTCCACAAGTTTGCAAACCGCCAATTGCCAAGACTAAACTCTGCCAAATTAAAGCGCTATACATTATCATAAATACATGTATTTGTATATTTAAAAAATACGTAAAAAGAGATAGAAAGAGAAGGAAGGTTTATTGTGTACAAACAAACAGACTATACCTCTCTGCCAGTTTGCTTTTGTTTCTTGGTTACTCTTCCAACTTCAATAAGGAGCAGTCTAGGGTCGATTGAGTCCCAGTGGAACTTCAATACGTTGCATCCAGTTAACTCTGACAGCAGCTTCAGCTGGTCTCTCTTTATGTTGTCCGGGAGGCTCTCAGGGAGCAGGGAGCAGTCGCCGTTGCTTTCGTCAATCTCTTGTCTTCTCTCGACGGTAAAGTCCAAAACTTTAACAATGTCTTTCTCGTGATTCATGATCAACAGTACTGAATTACTGGATGACTAGTTAACATGATAATAATAACAATAGGATAATAATAATAAATAATAATAATAATAGTTAAAATAATCACTTTTATGTATGAACCTGATTTCAATTATTTAGTGTTAGTTATAATTATTATTCAATGTTTTCCAGAGGATTTTAGTGTATTGCTAAAAGACCTTTTACTATAGTACATGGTAATGGGAAAATTTCACCAAAAATGAAAAGGATAAAATTCTCTATTTTTATAATTTTTTTCTGATACATATATACATGTTTTTATGTTGTTGTAGCAAGTTTGAGCTGATTCTAACAAAAATTGGAATTTTTATGAATTTTAAAATTTACTCAAAAATCAGGCCAAAGTCCCTGTACTATAGTACAGGGTCTTTGGCCAAATTTTGCCAAAAATGAAAAGGAGAAAATTCTCAATTCTTATAATTTTTTCTGATACATATACATATTTTTATGTTGTGTAGCAAGTTTGAGATGATTCCGACAAAAATTAGATTTTTTATGAATTTTAAGATTTACTCAAAAATCGGGTCAAAGTCCATGTACTATAGTACAGGGTCTTTGGCCAAATTTTGCCAAAAATGAAAAGGAGAAAATTCTCAATTCTTATAATTTTTTCTGATACATATACATGTTTTTATGCTGTGCAGCAAGTTTGAGCTGATTCAAGCCAAAATTGGATTTTTTTTTACAAATTTTTAACCATACAATACATGTACATGTAATGCTCATGAAGCTCATGCTGTTTAGCTCACTTAGCATGCTTTGTGGGAAATCCTGGCTATTTTCTAATTATTATTTAATTAATGTTAATTTTAAAATTATATTTTATTTTTACTTTATTAGCAATCAGTCCAATAAGAGTCCCATTAGAATTAGCTTGTCCTGATACTACGCTTACAAAATGATGAATGTATTGTGATACTGATTTAGTACAAATTAACTTGGGCTCTCTATAAAATAAATAATAAAACAAACAGATACATGTACATGTACATGTACATGTATAAAGTTAAAAATATCCATTATTATGCAGTACCTTCGTTTGAGGTCAAATACTTTAAAATTTCCGTCAGCGAAAGATATCACCAAATGATGTCCGGACACTCTTAAATTAGCCACACCCACTTCATTAATATCCAGTGACAGCTTATTCTTCAAAACACCCTAATATAAATAATTTTTACACGTAAAATTTTTATATTAATATCTTGGTGATACAGTAATATTAATTATTAAATAATGTTGATAATAATATCTCAGTAATACATGTGCATTATGGTGTTAAAAATAAAGCTGATATTAATATCTCTGTGATAAAGTATTAATTAAAAACACATTAAAAATACCGTAGAGTGCCTTTTTTTTAGGGCTGCGGATTTCATGATTTTTTGAAGATTCGCAAAAAATCACTGCCCAAAGTCAAA